CCCCAAGGGCTGCCCGCAGGCCTTGCTGAGTGGTCACCGCGGGAAAGGCGGCAGCGGACGGGCCACGGTGCGAGCTGTCAGCTTGGCGAGAGCGATGGGACCGGTCCTGAGTCCATCCAAGGCACTGGGTAGCCGTCAGGGCACCCAGGAGGAAGATTTTTGTCTCTTTTGTAGCCAGTCCCCCATGAAATTCACTGCATCTGCTACACACGAAAAAGGCTTTCTGTGCTGCCTTTCCCATGGCTGTGGGAAGATGCAGAGAGAAGCTACACACCGTCCTTTAACCAGACTTCAGCACTGGAGAGGTTGGAGATGAGGTGCAAGGAAAGGGTAAGGAGCTGTTGCTGATTCTGCTCTGGGTGCACACAGACAAAATGCACTGGGGCAGGGAGGAGATTTAAAAGAAAAAACCCATCCAACCAACCAATCCCCAAAACCACCCCAAACAAACACAACTTGCATATTTATGTTGTTCCCATCCCGGCATTTTGACTTCTTTAAGCAAGTTCATCCATGCCATTTGTAAGTGCACATGAGGTAACGAGATGTTCTCTCAGACCTTCTCTTTTTCTCAACCCTAAATTTGCAAGCTGCACTCAGTCCATGTGAAAGCAGAGTCAAATGCCACATGTTGCTAGTTTGCTCCTGGTATCATAACACAGAACTAAGATGACTACAAATCCAAGAGAAAATGAAAGCATTTTTTGATCAGATTAAATTTTCCAGAAGGACTCAGAATTAGGGAAGTCTGTTTCTCCCACCCTCACAAGACAAAAGTTTGACCTAGAATCTGAAAAGTCAAAAAGCCTCTTTATATTATCACTAGGGTGGAAGGAAAACAAAGAGAATTACCCAGTTCCATTAAAAACAGACCAGGGAATTAGGTCATGAGAGCATTAAGAAGCATTTTCCTTTAATAATTCCTGCAAGTCTGCTGAAAAGCCTCATGACATTGGAACACATTTCAGAGTTGCAACTGTTAACACCTCCATGAAAAGCACTGCTAATAAGGCAAGAGGCAGCAAGCTCTGCTGATTTGTACTTTTCTGGTCCACCAGATTTTTGGCCTACCACGAAAAAAACTCTTTTGTGCCTTTTAGTGCAATTTAAAGGCAAGTGGTACTTATTTTCTTGCAAAGTACTTGGACAACAACAGCAGCAGCAGCAGCCATTTTTGAGCTACAATTTTAAGTGAGTTTAGAAACATCAAGTAAGGATGGTCAATGTGCAGTAAGTATAATGAATTTTCTCTCCTATTCTTAATTATATTTTCAGAATACACAGTACACGTCCCCTGTGTTACTGCAAAGGGGAAATTCTCTTTTCAAGGTAAGCCTTATGCACCTACTACAAAAGGACTTAGGCCTTCATATTAAACTCTGAAACCATTGAAATTGTGTCCTGCCAGCCTTAATTTTTAATATTTTGTGTTTATGTCGGTGAACGTTTTTGGAGCTATTTTGGTTTTGTGCCCCAACTTGATCGTGCTTGGCTGCCAGGGTCACTTGATTGGAATATTAGATTCTCTAAAACCCCATAAACAAACTACAGAAGGTCAGAATGCTCCAACCATGATTGAAGGTAAACGTTAAGCCCATAATGAGCCCAGTGAAGGCAATATTCATAATATTTTTCTCATTAGTAAAATCTAGATTTACATACAATAATTTTAAAATAAGAGGCAAGATTTTAACTAGACGTGTTTCATTATCTTTGAAGTCAAGTAATTTATATTAATGTTTCAGCTGATATTGAAAAGCTTAAGCAATGATTTTATAAACATGGCAGTTGTTGTTACAGAAACACACAAACAACATTGTACATTTTTCCTGTGCTTTGATTATTGATGAATCATATTAAGTAGCATTTAGTCCTTAATTGCTCCCTCACATATATATGTATATAATATATGAGAAGATATGCATTAAATTACATAGAGTTGCATTTATGAACTAGATAAATGTTAAAGGTAACCTGACAGTCAGACCATGTAATTCATGTTGGTTTTAAGCAGTATGTTAGCAAAACAAATGCTTTGTGAATTCAAGTTATTCATTGCCTTAGATCTCTGGGACAGGACCTATGTTGTTTCCCAGAGTATGAAACTTGACAATAATAGGTTTCTATTTCATGAATCAAAGCTACCATGTGCTACCACAATAAAAACATCAGCACATACTCTTGTAGAAACAGTCCTATTCAGAGAAATTTTGCCTTGTGCTTTAGTGTGAGCTCTATTGATACTTGAGAATAAGGCATAGAGCACCAAAGTGTAGCACCTAGCAACAGATTTTACAGAATTTGTCCAATATTAGTACATTAGTACTTTAGTACATTTTGGAGACAAATATATTGGCTCTATCTAGAGTGGTAAAATCGACTCCTTTTGCTTTTGTGCTTCAAGTCAAGCATATTCATGAAAATCCACCCATATATTTAAGAATACTCCTCTCACATATACCCCCATCCATACCTGCTAGAGTACTGCCCTTGCATAGTTGTTCTTATGGGTATTGATTGTGAGTATTTAATTTCCAAATACCTAGTAAGACGAGACTAAATATAATAGTTAATTCCTTTCACTCAGATTTTGCTTAAAACACAACTCAGATTTTGTAACTTGAATAATATTTTTGGCCTCCTGAAATCTTAAACATTAAACTGCTGTTCTTTCATGTTTTTGGAGCTGCCATAAATTGAAGCCACATGAAGTATGTTTTACTCCACTATTTCTCTATTTAAGGAAAAGTTAATCAGTAAGATCAATCTAGAAATAGCAAATTTGTTTGGAAAGACATCATTTGCATGATCTCAATCTTTGCAAGAAACACCATCCTCATTTTTTGCCCATCATAGCATGAATTTCCATTTGCAGGTAGAGTCAATCACAAGCTCCATCCTCCATCGATGATTAGCTCATTACCAGTCACATAGGCAGACTGAAATTACATAAAATAAACAATGATTTCAAGTAATTTTTCATGGCTATTAATTACAGGGAAACACTTTCTTTAAATTAAAAAATATGCTTTATTTTTATACACTTTTTTTGTTTTACAAAAATACCTGAGTAAGTAATATAATATCTAAATAGAAACAAACAGAAATTGAGGCCTTTTACTTAATTCAAGGAAGTGTGGCAAAAGTATTACTAGAGGCATTAAGATGAGAATGCATCCTGGGAGCACAAATTTAAAAAAGCTAGACTTTAGATATCTTACCTGCAGGAGTAAATGCCTCACACTGTGATGTTATTAGATCTGTTCAGCTGAGTAGAATCTGATCAGGTCAGCCAATAATTATAATGGGACCTAACTAAAAACTTAGATTATATGGATAGTGGGGTAAACAACTAAACTGTTGACATTCTTCCTTATGTCACTGCTGAAACATTCTGAATATATTGAAAAAATGGAATTCTGTTTACACACCATTGAAAACCCTGTGAGCAGACTGGAAAAATTATTAGCATTATGGAAATACTAAACCCAAGATGAAATTGAGAAACAGACTACTAACAGATAGCAACATTAATACTGAACTAAATCCACTGAAGTATTTTGACATTAGGACTGCTGGACATGTCTAGACAAATCCAGTCCAGTTTCTAGTCTCAGTAAAATCACAGCAGTTGAAATAACATTGGTGTGTGCTCATTAGTGTTGGTGCTGTTTGCAGTGGTCATCTGGAGTCTGGTGTGTAACATCCACAGTGGGTCTGTTGT